TTCCCGTACTCCGAGTTTAAGGGATACCGGGCCGCCACGTGGTCTCTCATGGGTTTCGCTATATTACTGCTCATCCTATTGATCGCCATTTTAGCCGTACTTTGTTTCCGACGGCAGAAGAATAATGAGTTAAAACTTTTGCGCAAAAATGATAAGGAATTGGAGGAGAGGTTCAACACTACGTAAAGAATATTCTTTCATATTTTTCTATCAAATTCTTGTGTATTATTAGTTTTGTATTTATTTCTTATTAATTACTCTCTGTTTTTTAATTTATGCTGAATTGAGTTGATGTTAATTAATAATTAGTTATTATGCTTGATGATAATAACGTACCGTTCCCATTGTATTATTTCTGTCCCCTCTCATTTTATTTTTAGAATATTTTGAATTTATACTTTAAAATTTGTTTATTTAACTTATTATTATGATTTGTATAAATTGTGATTTCTGTAGTGATGCATAACCTTTTTAATAGTCATTAAAACTAACATTTATTTATGTTTTTCATATAATTTTTAATTTATTTGAATGTAATTTTGGTAAAATAAAAATAATAAAATTTTTATACATGTTTCTTATTAAAATACTTATTTCTATTTTCAGGTCATATGAATCATATGAATCGGAAAGGCTTTAGAGACAATTAATTTTGTATTTGTCATCAATATTCAACAAATTTAACAAACATTTCTTTGAACAAATAAAAATTCATTAATTAGAGTTGAATAAAATTCCTAATTCTAGCATCATAATAACTGTATTTATTTAATAATATACTTTAAGTATTGATTTATATATTCGTAAACATAATTACTTATAGGTAGAAAGATCTGGATTAAAATTGAGTGAATGTTTTGGAAATTGTTGGATAATTTTAAATATAGATCATAATGGAGTAAAATAATTTTAATTTCTCATCAAATTTATATCCAGTTAATTAAGATTGTTGTGCTTTTGTGATTTAATTGTCCACATTTTTAGGCAGACCAGGGTTAAAATATAAGTCCTTGGTGACCATAAATTCACGCATAACAGGCCGTTGTTCTATATCACTTTTGGTGGTTATATCAGCACAGGTCTATTTAAATTTTAGAATTTTAATGCAAATATTAAAATTGAACTATTTACTTACCTTGTTAAATAGTTGTTTCAAATTAAGTGTGCACGCATCCTGAGCTAGGCGCTGCATAAAAAATCGGCCAAATATTGTTGTATAAATCCCGTTCTTTTTCACATAAGAAGCCATATAACCTAATTCAACAAACAAAAACAAGTTGCAAATATGTAAATATTTATTATTTTCAAAAATCATAATTTTATATCTGTTTCTGAAATGAAAAAAAATTTAAACTTTGATTTAATTATATTGTTAAATGTATTTTTAGCCTAAACAAAATTATTATAGTACAGACAAATTAATTATATGAATATTGGCTACATCAATATAAATATTTGTTTTCAATTAAAACATAAATTATAAAAAAAACCATTAAGTGCCAAAAAAGACAGGGTCATTTACTAATGTTAAAAATAAGAAAATGACACTATGTTACACTATGGCTAATTAAATAATATACCTTCACTACTCGTCGAGATAATATATGCTGCCCCAATGTTTTGATTGTAGTACTCATCGTCTACGGGTGCCATACTAAGGAGCATTACTTTGTCCGTACGTTTGGTTCTGGCAATTATCACTTCTTTCTTTAAATCTTCTTCGACTAAATGTATTATAAATATATTAATATGAGTTAACAAATCGATTTTGAAATTAAGCTTTAACATTGTTGAACATAAGATTTTATAAAATGATTATAGTTGTTACAGTAAGCAAAATGTTTACTTCAAAACTGTTTTCATTTTATTATATTTAGTATTATTATTATAATCATAAAAAGAATCAGAAAACAGAATTGAAGTAAATGTTTTAATTGGTGGCAACTATTGTTAATTTCATACTTATTCTGCAAGTATTAAATATGAAAATCTTCGGTATCTCAGTCAACGATTCATGACATTTTTTAATAGCAAATATCTCCACGGTATCACGAAGCTTAATAATATCACCAGTATCAAAGTCTACATTATTTTTACCATGATTAATACAGATGTGTTCTTCTTTACCATGTCCAATATACATAACAATTACAGCATCGCCAGTGAATTCTTTAACCGCAAAAGCCTTTAACGTAGTAATCATTTCTTGACAAGAATCCATTACCACTATTTCCACGTCGAAATACAACTGTTCAAATATTAAGTCAAATCTATTCGCCTCATTCAATAATTCATTGCTAACGTCTGTTGTAACAAATATAAACGCCTTTCCCCTGGGTTTTGCATCCATTTTGTACCACAATTCGCCTCCAGATCTCATCCTGGTCGCTTTTTCCACAGTGACCGATACATTAAGTCTACAATCGATAGGCTCTATAGGCTTATTAAACTGGCGCAAATTTTGAGCTGGCTCGTGTTGGCCAGATTCATGCAGTATTTGTGCTAAGTGTTCGCAGCTATCCGAATCTTTTGTGTATTCAGTGAATATTAACATTTTCCTGAATGCTACATCATCAATTTCCTATTAACATTCGTGTTACATTAATTTATATAATAATGTTTTGTTAAATTAACATGTGAAATTAATTTTAATTTAATATAATAACTTTTAAATAGTGATTCATTTATTTAGAGCTAATGAACAAGATACTCATATACTGTACTACTGCTATCAATTTTAATATAACTGAACTAGGTGTGTTTGTGTTTTAATTGGTTAAGATATACCGTATTTAGTGACTTATTATTGCCGCAATTAAAGATCATTTTCTGTGATTTTTGTGATTTTCAAAATCATAGGCAATAATATCTCAATATAATTGCACCCCTTATCAGAATCGATATACAATAGCATGCAATAGTAACTCAAAATCAAGACAATTTAAAACATGTATTAATTAGACACTAAATTAACTTATGTAGGCACTAAATCCTTTAAATTCAACACCAAATTAACTTAATTGTGCATTGAATTAATTTAAATTTAATTCTCATAGGGCATTGTTCACATATTACGTTCGCACTTTTTGAAAAATCTTGACCCCCCCCCCCCTTTGTTCGCCATTGTTAAAGCTTAATTTCAAAATCGATTTGTTAACTCATATTAATATATTTATAATACAT